TTCGTCTACCGGCTACACGCCGTTCTACGTGAATGGGCTGATTCACCCTCGCGTCCCGATGACACCGCCATTTAATGACTCAAGGCTTGGTGGGGGAGGAATAGCCGAACGGCTAGCTGGTGTCAGCCCCCTCACCATCCGTAAAAAAGTCGATGACTTCTTGTCGACCAGACTGAGTGTCCTACGACACGTTTGCGATGCGATGGTTGGAAGCCGAGACCTGCAGAAAGAATATGCAGATGAAAAAGGAAGAGGCAAAGTGGGAAGCGTTAAGGTCGGAGACCTGGTTTTATTAAACTCTAAAAACCTTCTGACACATGCAGCCTCTGCTATTTACCGGAAGAAGCTACGTCCACGGTTCATTGGACCGTTTAAGGTTGTGGCCAAGCAGGCGCTAGCGTATACGCTAAACCTCCCCAAACGGATGCGCACCCACCCGGTGTTTAACGTGGGTTTGCCCAAGCCGAATCGGGATCCGGCGCATATGAACACGGAAGCGTTGACGCCAGAGCGGATCCCACGGGCCCTCGGTAACCCAGAAACTGCAACAACCTCCATCCCCAACGAGCCAAGTGCCCCACCGTTACCTGCAGTCACACATTCGTCTACTCCACGGTTAGGAGTCGCTCCGACAGAGCGCGGTAATCCTAAAGGTGAGGCAGCCGGCTCACGACGCGCTCCAAATCATCAATAGCATCCGCACAGCGATATGCTATTTCAGCATGACGCTCAACGGAGCTCCGATCACGAAGGATCTCATCCTCAAAGGCTCGAAGATCATCGCGAATCACCAAATGGCGGTCGACCCGGTCGTCACCGCCCGCCACCGACGTTTCTCGATGAGAACGGTGACGCCCAGTATCAGGTATACGCCTAGTGAGGCGACATCGTCACCAGGGTCAGACCCAATATCTGGTGAAATGGCGGGGATATTCCGACTCCGAGTACTCGTGGGAGTTTGAGACGCCACTTCGGCAAGATTGCCCAGACGCCGTTGACACTTTTGATCAGAAAGATCAGGACACCCCGCGCTCTCCGACAATAGCCAAGGGAAGTAGAAGGGCCACGGGCTGAGCTCAAGCGGTGGCCCTGAGCTCTTGCGGTCGCAAACACAGAGCTCGCGGGAACGTTAGGGATTAATTCATACGTCGTAGGGCGACAATCTGAAGGGAGTCGACGGCGTGCTTTGAATTTGGCAGACTCAAATTGGAGGTGGCGCTCCACACGTGCGTTCAATTCCTTGTGGCTCAACTGTAAGGCATACAGTGAGGAAAGTTTTCGGTGCCGTTGCACCCATCGCTCAAGGAACCCTTCGTCATATGTAGCGCTTTTGCCAGGGGCGAGCACTACAGGTAACGTCCGCATCGCAGGTACACGAGAGCCACCTCGTTGAGAACGTAGACGAGTGCGATAAACTCCCAACGGAATTTATTGTGGGACCAAGAAACGAGATCGAAGAGCTTTCCGTGTGGCAGGCTCATCATCCGATCTGACCGGGGGCCCAATGATGTGGTCGCGTAACGATCAAGTTGCTCTTCGCTTCCACAGCGGGATCCGTCAAGCGGAAACCATATTCCACACGAGGGTCAATGTCCGACCT